AATCAGCTATCTCAGAGTAATTTTTGTACATCTTCAATTTATCTCATACACACTTTTTCACTTCCCAACCCTAAACCCTAGCCATGCCATCAAGGAGATACATGCCCGAGCATACTCAGGAAGAGATACAATAAGAGATCCGTGGACTTCAACGGACGCTTCAGACATGGAGGATGAAATCCCGAGCGAAATTACCCTCGTTCGTGTCAGGGAAAGTCGAAGGGGCTAAAGATACGAGAATTTCAACTTCTTCCATGTGGAGGATTTCAGTGATGAAGAAGACAATCCATGACACTTTGAGATACAGTATCAGAGAAGGCCGAGAAAGGAGACCACATATGGAGGACACAGGGACTTCAGAATAAAGGTGGATATACCGAAGTTTGATGGAGGTATGTATCCAAACAATTTTATCGAATGATTACTATCAGTTGAGAGGATCTTTGAGTATAAAGAGATGTCAGAAGCTATAAGGGTTGAGCTTGCAACTATCAAAGTGAGAAAGAGCGTTTGCATGTGATCGGATAACTTGTAGAGGCAGGGGAAGAGAGAAAATAATGTCAAGATTATTAGACGGGAGAATATGAAATGGGGGCTGCAAAGAAAATATCTATCATCTCACTACTGTCATAATATATTTCTAAGACTCCACTTCCAGTAGAGAGTCCTATGAGTGGAGGAGTTCACTACGCAGTTTGACCAGTTGCAGATGAAGTGTGAGTTGGTTGAGCCAAAAAAACACACCATAGGTCGTTATCTGGTGGGCTTGAAGCCCGTTGTCAGCAATTTAATGCAATTGCAGTCTTATTGGTCACTGGGAGATGTAGCAGAAATAGAGCAGTCAACCACTACTAGTCTGGCAGCCACCTGCAGTTAGAGACACCAGCAGGAGCACACTTCAAGGAGTTGAGAAAACTTATTCAGATAAGGACAGAGTCACCCTGAGTGAGAAGAAGCCCGAGAAGAAGTTGCAACCCTACTATAGTCCTAGCCCGAAAATGTTTTAGATATCATGGATTTGGGCACATCGCCTCTAGTTTTCTGACTAGTCAAATCATTTCTTTTACCGAGCATGGTGCCGTGGAGGAGTTTAGCGACATATAGACAGCTGAAGAACTGGGTGAGGTGTATCATTTTCCACCGGATGAGGATGAGATCCTCGTGGTTTCACGGGTCTACAGACTGAGGATATGAGGAATCCGCAGTGGCTCCGCCAAAATAAATTTTACCCCCGTTGCGTTGTGAACAGGAAGGTGTGTATTCTCATCATTGGTGGAGGAAGCAGCTAGAACGTGGCGTCTACGTAAATAGTGGAGAAATTGAGTTTCATGACTTAGAGACATTCTCAGTCACGTTCTCTGACATGACTGGAGAATGATAAAAGTGTCAGCATTGAATGTAGATGCCTAGTGGAGTTTTTGATTAGAAGTCAGCTGTAGGATCAAGTATGATATGATTTGATACCCATAGATGGCTGTCACCTTTTGTTGGGAGACCGTGACAATTTAACTATACGACTCACCAAGGAGGGGAAGCACATCTTCCTTCTTTCGGTGAAGCCCAAGATCACGGGTGTCCTTGCCAGTAATGCAGCGTTGGTTAAACCGATTTGGTGATGAAAGAGGATGATAAGGCTGAGACACCGAATTCAGGCATGGGATAACCACGACGGAGAGCATGTTCAGGACATCATGATCGATCTTACGGCCATGGCCACCACCATTTGGGGAGGTTCAGTTACCCTCACTTCAGATCAAGTTGAGCCGATCTTTGACTATGTTTAGAGATTCAACAGTATACACATGACATGCAGACCTAGCTTAGCTCAGTAGGGGACCCCCAGAAGGATGGATCAATATGGATGTGTGCTCACAAGTGGGAAAAAATACTTAGGTATTTTGCGGCACAATGTTATCTACAGTGAGATTCAGGTGCTTCACGGACCCCAGTAGAAGATCCGCCAGTCCCAACAGCTTACAATAACCCTGTCACTATCAACGGGCATTCATAAGTTTCGAAGAATGAGATTGAAGCTATCCCAATCCCGGGAGACTGGCGCGGGGCTACTGAACTGGGGCCAACCTAGGACTTGTTCAGGGAGAGAGGCAAGGGGGGTCGGCTGACCCAATTATTTGGATTAGGGTTTCCTTCCAAATCTGCTTTATTATTTACTACTATAAATATATTCTTTGTTTTATTTAGGGTTAACTTTTTTGCTGAGTTTTCTGTCAAGGCAGCCTTCGGCGTCCAAGTTTTCCCTTTTGAGGAGTGTATCCAAAGGAGAAAAGTTGTTCTGGGTGTAACTTGTTCTGAGGTGGTGTTTATCTACCCTTCCTCACTTCCCCAACTATATCCCAGCTGAAGGATTTGTTGTAGTGCTCTGCCAGAATTGTTGTGCCAGCAGTTTGTTGCTATCCAGCCATCGCCCTGCTCTTCCCCTCTCTCTCCCTGCATGTTGTTGAGAACTCCAACCACCCTACCTGCTGTCGCGCATCTCTCCAAGCTCCTTCCTTGCTGCCGCCAAATTTCTCCAGCACTCCACTCTGTTACCGCAGCCCCCTCCAACATCCTGCCTTGCTGGCATAACCCTACCACAACCCTCCTGCTGTTGCCGCAGCCCCTCATCAATTTATTTGCTGCTGTTGCGACCTTCAAGCCCACCGCTTGCTTGCTGTCCCAATGGTGTTCACCACTTTTGCCCTTACCTGAGGGAGTATTTCATGTTTTTTTTGCTATTTTTCTATTGTCATTGGTCTCAGTTTGTAACCTTATTGAAGTTCATCAATAATATTTGCATTTTGATTATGATTTGGGTTAACTCTGGTATCAAAGGCATTACTAAAATTCAGTAGGTCATATGCTCCAATTCACTTGCCATTATGTAAAAGAAGCATGCTGCTTCAAATGATTACAATTTGCTTCATTTATGCCTATTAGTGATTGAATTTGTGGTCTCACTACCACCTTCACCGTCTAATCTACTGATTATTAGATTTCAAAGTTTTTTGGGTTCTTGAAGTTTGAAGTTCTCCAACACTCGAGTTATTTTTTTGGACTCCCTTCTCTTGTTGTACTCTGCTTTCATCAGATGATTCAGTGATGTCATTTTCTCCATGCTCTCTGCCAAGACCCATTATTTGGAGAGGACCTCGTAGCATTAATTCTGTCAATCCCAATCTTTAGTGACATGATTGAAGATTGCTTGAAATTAAACGAGGCACACAATGGAAAAACTATCACTGCTCTTTCCTATGAAACTCGTTTCCTGAAGGCTGCGATCAACAAAGGCTGGATAAAAAAATTTCGCCTCCATCCCAAGGAGAAATTCTCTTGGTGGAGACTCATCTGGGACGGCATTCTTTCCCGTGAATGGCTTGTTCGGAGGGGTCTTACGGAACATCTAGAGTGCCCCTGGGGCTGTGGCGAACCTGAAAGCAGAGACCATATTTCTAGTAATTGTTTTCTTTTTTGCTGGATTAAAGATATTATGGCAAAGCGGGCATTATTATCCCAAAATTCAGGAGCTTCAGTGAGGCCATCGACAAGCTTTCCACCACACCATTGTCTGGGATTCCTAAGACTAGATGTTATTGCTACATTATTCATTTATGTTGGAGAGCTTGCAATGCCAAAGTCCACAACCAAGCGCACGATACACCGACCACCATCACAGCAACCGTCCTCGAGGCACTTACAATGACTTGACCTTTTCCTTTTTGGGGGGCAATGGGATGCTAGCCGACCCCTTGGGTTGGTTCCACCTTCTTTCTTCTGGCATCCTCCCCCTTCCAGATGGATTAAAGTGAACATTGATGATGCTCTTCTCTCTTATGGAGCGGCCGGAACCGAAGTCATTATTCGGGATGATTAAGGAAATGGAATCATTGCAACAGGTCATCTTTTTAAGCATTGGGACAACACCCAAGTTGAGATACAAGCTATTAAATTATTTCAAAATATTTGCCAATCATGGATGCTGGAGTGCCGAGGCATCATCATTGAAGGAGATAACACTCATATTATACAATTTTTGCAATCCACTATGAAGCGTGGAACTTGGTGTAAAAGACCACATGATGCACCAGATTTTGCTTTTATTGTCTTGTAGGCAAGTTTTGTTTTTCCATACACGACGTGAATGTAATAGGGCCGCCTATTTTTGTGCATAGCGTGTCCTTAGTGGGTCTTTTGTTTTGATGCATATAGATGATGATAGAGAACTTTTTATTATATTTGTAGATGATAGGTCTCTCTTTTGTACATCGTAGATGCATAGTTACATAGTTTTGTACTTTTCTTTTTGATATATTAATGCAATCACATGTTTTCAAGGAATAGTTTTTTGTTGGCCTAGTGAATTGATGCAATACAAATTAGCTAGTTTAGTCTTTACAAGATTATTCCTTTTTTTTTTCTTTTGTAGTCAGTCCAAAGGAGTTGAGATAGGCTACAAAGTTGCTGATTGAAACAGTTTTGCCAGTTTTCAACTTTTTCTAAGGCCATATTTATGATGTTCCAATTTTTTATTATTTTTATTTGGTTTATTTTATTTGTATCAGTTGTATACTTTTAGCTAAATTTTGCTTGGCTTTGATTTCAAGATTTTATTAAATTAGATGTGAATTTAAAATTCGGTTTTTTCTTTGTAATCATATTGAGGAATTAATGGCTTGTAATTGGAGTATGATTATTCATCGAACATTAATAATCGAATGAATGCAAACTTTTTGTAATGCCAGTGGAGTGCTCTCACGCTGCGTCTACAAATCGTTTCAAATTTTGTATGAGGTGTTTCTTCCTCTCCCCCACTACATCTTTTTTTTTTATGTTTGGTATTTAGGTTTTCATGAACCATGGCAGTAATAATCCACACAGAACCTGACTATTGAGTGTGTAAGAAATACTAATGGAAATAAATTTCTTACCCATCCCATTATTTTTTTCAGTTATCTTCGTTTGGAATGTATAAGTATTTGTTTTGAAATTGATATTCCCTGCAGGCTGAAAGGAGAAGGAAGCTTGGATTACCGCCTGAAGATCCTGTGGCCACAAAACCAGCTACCACATCTCCTGTAGAAGAGAAGGTGTTTACATGATTTTTTTTTTTTTAAATCCTCTTTAGATTTTCCAAACCATAAAACAAGGATTGATTATGTTTGTCTAAACTGGCTTTCAGAGTGCATTACCGATCAAGCCTGTAATAAAGTTGGAGCAAATGAGAGACTGTCTACGCTCTCTCAAGCAGAATCACAAAGTAAAACTATCTATTTTTTATTGTTTAAAGAAATTAACATAGTATAAATTTAATTTGCTTGACAGATTTTTTGGCCATAGCCATTCGTGCTTTAAGGCTTCCTTCGTGAGTGCTCTGGTCTCAACACTTGCTTCCTCTCTATGAGTGTACGATATGTAGAAGAAAAAGGATAAGATAACATATATTTGGCATGATGAATTAGAACCAAAGTTATAATTTATTTTTCACAAAAATCTATACCGAAGCTACTTTTACTTCAGACCATTTCCTGTGGCAGCCTTTCCATTCGTGCTAAGCTATGTGATAATTGTCTTCAAAGGTTGGATCAAATACTCCCAACAGAACTTGAGGGATGGGGTGTTATAGGAATAGACGTTCATTTATACTTTAAAGTGCCTAACTGTTTACATGGGGCCATTTTAGTTCCAAAGTCTATAACTGTGCCACTTTCTTCCTAAACTTTTTAAATTGCGGTTGAAATAGTCTTTCATGGTGATTATTTTAGCTCATATTAAAAAAGTCCGAGAATTAAATTGACAGTTTTATAGACTCTGAAGCTAAAATAACCTCATGCAGAAAGTCAAAGGATTATTTTGATGCATTTTTTTAATGATTATTATCTTATTGTAAATCACTCTTGTGGAATTGTCGCTGTTAGGTGGTCTAGAGTGTCAGCCATATGAGCCCCATCGGCTCAATTTGTGGAAGCTACTGGAAGGAGTTTGCTATTTCAACTTTTTCTTTTTATTCTTTACTATTATGTTTTACGTTTTTCTTTCATTGTTTGTTTTGTATTTGGTAAGTTATAATAATCTTAATTATATTTGCCATAGCGGTTCTCATATAATAAGGAGAAATGTTGTAATTTGAAAATGATTGAATAAGAAAATATAGTTTCTCCACTTTGCTTCATTATATCATAGCTTGAGGCTCTGTTTCGACAGAATTAGGGCATCCTTTGTTTGCTTGCGCCGATCAGCGTTGCCGAATGCTTCGACTGGTTTGCTCGTCTCATCTGTTTACTTTGATCTGCGCTGTCGACCACTTCAACTAGATCACTCGCCAGTCTTGACTGCGTCGTTGGGCTTCAAATCTATGTAGTTCGTCGTTCTCGTCGACTTTGGACAAAGCAAACGATTTCGTGGGTCCCTTCTGCACAGGAAAATCTTGCCGGTCTCATTGATTGCGGTTGACTTGGGTGCCTTCAACTACATCTTTCTATAGGCCTTGTCTCATGCAGGTCCTCCTCTACTTGATCCTACAGCCTCTGAAGCCTCTCCAATAGCCAAAATCCTTCCTACAGCAATCAGAATCTCTCCAGCCAACCCGCAAGCTCTTATCTACTTCTTTTCACAGTGGTTGGACTTTTGCAGCTTCAGTCTTCTATTACTGCTGCAAGCAACAACCAAAAACCTTATCCAACCCTTAACATACATAAGGTTTATGAATAAGTACGCAATGAAGATGTCTAGTTCTACTCCAAAGGTTAGTTCTGAATCAGACATCATAAATTCTGTTTAAATAGCCCCTGAACACTCTTCCTTTATCATAAAATAAACTCAATGGCCATAATTTCCTTCAGTGTTCTCAATCTATATTTATGTACATTTGTGGAAAATGAAAAGAGAAACATCTCACAGGAGAAGGCACAATTTCTGAGCTCACTGATCCTAACCATCACTCAGATAAAATCCAAGATCATATGGTCATATCTTAGCTGATCGTTTCTATGACCACAAAAATTGGAGATAATTTCTTGCTTTACAGGATAACTTAGGAGATTTGGAAATTAGCGCTTGAGACTTTTCTTGTATCGAAAACATTGTAGCATTGTTTGAGATTGAGATAACTGCATTGTCTTGGACAAGAAGATCTGAGTGTTACTCAATACTTCAACATTCTATCAAGGTACTGTTGCATGATGCTATGATGTATAAATCGTAATGAAGAAGAACAGGATGATCAAGTTCTTGTTGGATCTAAATAAGAACTTAAATGAGGCTAGAGGGAGAATCATGAGGATAAAGCCTCTCCATATCACTAGGGAAGCCTTTGTTGAAGTTAGAAAAGAAGAAAGCAGAAAGAAGGTAATGATGGTTGGAAGTGTGGGTTCATTTAGCATCGAATGCTCGGTTTTGTACATGCACAACTTCCATTATTCAAAGTCAAAGAAGAATTGTCCCTTGTATGAATATTGTAGGAAACGTAGTCACACAAAGGACTAGTGTTGGAAACTACATAGAAAACATGTAGATTGGAAACCTGTACAATATAGGAAGGACCAAAACTACAAGGCCCATGTTTTTACCACTTTTTGAAGGTTTGTCCACCCTAGTAGTCCTTTCACCAAGGAACAACTGGAGGTCTTGAAGAAGCTTCTTATTAGCACTACTGAGCAACCTACCGGCTTGATGTTGCACCCTGGTAACATATCTTCCTCTTATCTTGCTATCAATGGAAGATTTTGACTTAAGATAATAGATTCAATTGCTTCTGTTAGATGACTGGAGACATTTATGCTCTCATCAATTATCAAGAGACCTCCACCTCCAAATTTATTAAATTTGCCAATGGATCTCACTCTAGGATTGTTTGGAAATGAGAAGTAAAAGTCTCCAAAGATATTCAACTTATTTTTGTGTTCTATATTTTCCAACTCGATTGCAAGTTATTTTCAATTAACAAGTTTATTCATGGATTCAATTGCGTTACTAAATTTCATTTTAAATTTTGTGAATTTCAGTTGGTGGATGTGGGAAATTTGATTGACAGTGTAGAACTGCTTCAAAATTTATACCTGCTTAAGGAAAAGCTATTTTCTTAATACACAAGTGTCTTCACCATTTTCTTCACATATTCCTGAGTCAGTTGAAAATCAAGCTTTTTTTATGACATTATTGTTTGGGTCATTACAATTTTTATTATGTTGTAAAGTTGTACCCCAATCTCTTTTTAATTAAAAGTTAGAGTTTTATCAGTGCGAAATTTACCAATTGGCTAAAATACTCATCAAGTATATTTTTTGTCTTATTACAAACCCTCACATCTTTTTTCTATCATTCACAATGAAATTTGGGAGCAATCAAAATTGAAAACCGTCAATGGAGCCAAATAGTTTCTCCTGTAATGATGATTACATGAAGGAGAAATATGAAACTACACAAATCTTTTAGTCATTGCATGACATGACTTACAGTCAATTTAAATGCAAAAATCAGATTCTCAAAACTGATATTACAAAGAAATACTTCAGCTCAATCTTTGAAGTTTACCTTGTGAAGAAGGATATCGTTCATTTGAGTTATTGTGTTAGGACTCCGCAACAAAATTGAATAGCGGAGAGGGAAAGTAAATATCTCCTTGTGATTTCTATATCTATAATACTTTCTCACAACATTTCAAAAAAATTTTTGGGGAGATGCAGTGCTCCGAACTACTTATCTCATTAATAGAATCTTAAGTAGCATCCTTGGATTCAAAGCCCCTCTCTATATTTTAATCGAAATATCTCCTTATGTTAGAACCTTCTCATCCAATATTTTTCTAAAAATATTTGGTTCTCTTTTGTTTGCATTCACCAATCAATTCACACAATGCTTGACCCAAAATCCATCAAATATATCTTTCTAGGTTATTCTTCTAACAAAAAGAATTACAAGTGTTATGCTTCCATTATTAAAAAATAATATATCTCCATGAATCTTACATTCTTTGTAAAATAATCCTAGTACTCGAAAACTTAAATTCAGAGGGAGAGTGAGTGAATATCATTTTTGGGACACTAGTCTGGATACCCATAGTGAACTAGATTCATCACAACCTATTCTACTTCCCTTTGGACATCTTGTCTCCTAAGTTCAACCACTAGAGGAAATGCACAAGGAACTTCGTGTGTACATTAAGAGAAAGAAATCAACTAAGCATGATAAATATAACCAACTTTGAATCCACAAATCTTAGAAGTTCCTAGGGAGGTGAAATCCAGTGGAGAAGACATGAACATTGAACAAATTATCTTATCCATGAGTATGTTGTCTATGGGAAGTTATCATCGCCTTGTAAAGCTTTTGATCTAGTCTTAATAGTGTGCAAATATGCAAGCTTATTCAAGAAGCACTTTAAAGTTTAATATGAAAAATGCAGTCGAAAAGGGGATTCAATGAGTTGATCTAAATGACAAATGTACCTTTACAAAGCGTCTTCCAGATAAAGAACCCATTGGGTGCAAATGGTCAGTGTCAATTACAAAGAAGATGGGAGCATTGGGAGGTTTATGGCTAGTTTGGTGGTCAAATATTTTACTCATTCTTATGGGATAGAATATCTAGGAATCTTTGCACCAATGGCTAAGCTAAACACTGTAAGAGTTGTTCTTACCTTGGCAGTGATCAAAGAGTGAGAACTGCATGAACTTGATATCAAGATTGTCTTTCTTGAACGGAGATCTTGAATAAGAAGTGTATATGGAAATCCCACCAAAGCTGAAAAATGACTCAAATAAATATTTGGATTATAAACTATGGTCACTTTATGACCTCAAATAATCGCCACGGGCTTGATTTGACAAGTTTACCAAGACTATTAAATCTAATGGGTACATCCAATGTCAAGCTGATTATATTTAGTTCATAAAACATACACGGGGATATAAGAAAGATATACTCATTGTCTATATAGATGATATTCTTGACATGTGATAAAAAAGAGATTGGAAAAATTAAAATGAGTATTGCTATTGAAGTTCAAATCAAGGATCTAGGAGATAATTTATGGGTATGGAAGTGGCCAGGTCCAAGAAAGGAATTGCGATATCCCAAGGAAAATACATCCTAGATCTACTAAAAGAGATAAAAAGTACTAGGGCATAAACCTGTTGAAACTTTAATGGATTTCAATAAAAGTTACATTCATGGGGGAAAAGACATTAGGGGAAAAATGTAGATATCTTAGATTGGTTGGAAAGTTTATCTATATGTCACGCGCTAGACTTGATATCACTTATTTTCTTAGCATTATGAGTTAACGTATGAGTAGTCAGCAGTTAGAGTCAGATTTGTCATATTAATACCTTTACGCTTTGATGGAGCCATTCTAGGATTCCATTTCTCAGTAACATGACCAAAATGAACTCCTGCTTCCATCATTTCTTCCAAATTGATGTTCCAATATCGTCTTCCCATTTTCCCACACTCTCTCTTTTTTTTTTTCAAAGAGATTCAATACCTTGCAAAGAGATTCAGTACCTTGTGAAAGAAAGAATTGTTCCGACGGAACCTTCTACCAGGATTGACCATTGATCTACGACCCAAATTTCATTCTTTCTTTTTTCTTTCATTGACAACGAAATCCATAATCGGACCAGAGAGTGAAAGTCAAAAGAACATTTATAGATAATTTACAGAATACCGAGGTTTCTTAAGAACACCCTTGATAGAGGATTATTGTTTAAAAAATTAAATAAAATGGATGTCGAAGATTACCTTGATGCTAGTTGGGCAGAAAAATTCATCGACAAAAGATCTGCATATGGGTATTATTCCTATGTATGGGGAAATTTTCACATGCAGAAGCAAGAAGCAAACTGTGGTTTCTAGAAGTAGTGCATAATCTAAGTAATGCACACTTGGTTTGGGAATTTGTGAAGGAATGTGGATCCAAAGGTTACCACATAAGTTGAGATGCTCTGCGTTCAATCCCATATAGATGTTCCGTGACAACAAAGTTACAAATAATATGCATGACAGGACCAAACACGTTGAGCTTGATAGACATTTTATCTCTGAAAGGTTAATGGGAGCATTATTCACTTAATCTATATTCCAACTCATCTTAAAGTCTCTGAAATTTTCACTAAATCCTTATCTCTTGGTAGCTTCACTGATTTGTATACTAAGCTGGGTATTTACAACTTCTATAACCCAGTTTCAGGGGAAGTGGAATTCCATCCCTGTTTGGTGGCTCAGATTGCCGGCCATATGGATCTCACTGGTTCAATTTATGGAAACTATTGGAAGGATTTCCTATTTCAGCTTTATTTATTTTTATTATTTTCTTATTATGTTGCATGTCTTTCCTTAAATGTTTGTTTTATATTTGTATGTTATAATAGTCTTAATTATGTTTGCTCTCGTCGTCCCACATATAATAAGGGGAAATATTGTAGTTTGAAAATGATTGAATAATAGAATATAGTTTTTCCACCTTTCTTTCTAACTCTTGTAAACTATTATGCTACCAACTTTACAGTGCATTCATACATATTTTTTGAAAACCATTTCATCTTTGGAGTTGAGGGAACCTGGATCCTACTGGGTGTGATAGCATAGTGCTCAAATGGGCAAATGTCTGGTAGGCTCTTCTCTTCATTTTTGTATGGGTTGTACCTGCATGAATCGATGGAAAACTCTTACAACAACAACAACAACAAAACCTTTATCCCACTAAGTGGGGTCGGCTACATAAATTCTTTTTCTACATTGCGTTCTATTTAGTGTCATATTTTCATTTAATTCTAATAAATTAAGATCATCTTTTATACAATATGCCCAAGTCTTCCTAGATTTACCTCTGCCTTTCTTAATATAAGTCAAATCTAAAACATCTACTCTTCTAATCAGATCATCAGATGACCAACGTTTAATGTAACCAAATCATCTAAGACTACTTTCTTTAATTTTGTCCGTCACTGGAGCTACACCAACCCTATCACGGATATATTCATTTCGCATTTTGTCTCTAAGTATAAAGCCACTCATCCACCTAATTATTCTCATCTCTGCAACACTTAACTTAGTTTTATGCTTCTCTTTTAAAGGCCAACATTCAATGACATAGAGCATTGCAGGTCTCACCACCATCTTATAAAATTTTCCTTTCAGTCTGAGTGGTACTTTTCTATCACACAATAAGCCCGAAGCATTCCTATACCTCAACCAACCAACTTGAATTCTACTAATAACATCCCCATCAATATCACCATCATTTTGAACGATAGACTTGAGATATCTAAAGCGTTCACACTTTTTAATAAGTTGATCACCCATAGTTACATTTCTATCACAAGTGCTACTACTTAGACTTGAGATATCTAAAGCGTTCACACTTTTTAACAAGTGCTACTACTAAAATTCTACTCAAACGAATGCCTTTAGAGGGTCCCAGCATTTACTTCTTTTTATGCAATTCATTATCAAGTACCAGATATGAAGGGTCCCAACGTTTTAGAAAGATAAGCTCCAATAATCATGTTGAGTGTAATCCAGATTGATCTGATAAAAGAAGCAGAGAACTCCATTCCAGCAATTTTGTAGTGCTCTTAGAAGAAATATAGTTTTTTGCCCTTTTTTTTAACTATTGAGTAATGTGTCAAAATAACCCCGGGCTATTTACATGAGGTCATTTTAGTCCCAGAGCCTATAGAAAAGTCAACTTAATTCTTAGACATTTTTATTATGAGCTGAAATAGTCCTTCGATTAATTTGACCGAATTTGAAGAGTCTGTGGATTAATTTGGCATTTTTATAGACTTGCAAAGCGGCTGAGGACTATTTAGACAAGTTTCTCTCAAACTTTATCTTAATTTACTGGTTTTTTAATTGGAAGATTTGCATACATACCACTCAATTCTTATGTATATACATATCTAACACCTAAAGTTCAATTTCTTTCATACAAGCCACCTCCTCTATGCATCACAAAGGTGTATTCCATAAAGGTGCATTTCTCTTTTTCAAAGTTAAAATGATGGTATTTTTGATATGATATGAAAGTTCTTGGTGGCATAAGTATTAAAAATTGAAGTTCAGGTGTTAGATATGTAAATACATATGAATTGGGTGCTATGCATGTAAATGCCTATTTTTAATTTTAAATACTGCATTTTCCATCATTTTATACCTTCTAAATGCTTGGCAGGAGGATGATGCTAAGGTGAAGAGAGCATTCCAAACACTCCTTACTTATGTAGGCAATGTTGCGAGGAATCCTAATGAGGAAAAATTTAGGAAGATCAGACTAAATAACGCAACTTTCCAGGTAAAAAAAAAAATGTACTTGAACATTCGGAGCAACAAGATTTAACTTCTTAGATTCCGACTCATCGTCAAACCATCCTTCCAACTGGTTTCTAACAGGATAGAGTTGGTAGTCTCCATGGAGGCGTTGAGTTTCTCCAGATTTGTGGGTTTGAAAAACAGGAAGGTGGAGAGTTTTTGTTCCTGCCTCGAGACAAGGTGGACATAGCTGTTATGAACTCCGCTGGATCCGAGCTGAACTCTGCCATTACAAACCCCTTCTTTGGAATTCTGTAAGTTGAACATCCACCCAATAATTTATCTTCTGAGTTTGCTTTTGTTGAAGAGAATAAAATAATGTAATATTTATAGATATAATGTAAAAAAATAATTTACAACATTTACTATTTCACATTTTGTCATAAAGCTTTTGATGGCCCTGCTGCTTACGATGTTAACTTCATAAACAAGGGTGTCGCTATGGAGTGCGCACGCAGTTCTGCATGCGTACTCCCTCAAATAATCTTCCAATAACTGAGTTATGGGGGGTATTGAGGTTATAACTCCAAAAGCATTTCAATAACCCCCCAATAACCTACAAATACGTTCCGCAGTTCCGCGCTCATATTTTTTGTTGTTATTCGGAAGTTTTGTCAGGCTATTGGGGTTTTTAACCAGCATAACCCTCCAATACCTCCCGAATAACCTCTATACGCACGTAGAACTATGTACGTAAATATTTGTCGTCTCTATGAGTGCATTGTTACAATTTGGATGAAATGCTTTTTATTTGCAAATTTAAGAAAGAGAATTCTCCAATTTTGCTATGTTATTTGTACTTATAATAAATTTATGTTTGCTTATTTTTTTACTTGTAATAAATCTATAATTTTTCAATAGATTAGGCTCCTATCCTGCTTTTATTGGGTTTATATTTTTAATGGATTATTTAATCAGAGATATCTTTAACAGTTGTTAACCATAGTGTGTTAGACCATCTTTAAACCCCCCATTGCAACCTCAAATCAACAAAATCTTAAATTGACTTGTAATTACGATAAACATTTTTAAAAAGACCTAATTCATTCAATGCTAACATTAAACTTTTAATGTGATTGAATGCAAGTAAAAATAACATTAAAACTAAATTATAAAATTTCCAAATATTTTAAAATGTAATAATATTAAGATTTACATTCATAGGACTCTATCCTCAAGTATTTACACATCTAACACATATATATATATATATGTCACCTTATCTATATATAAAAATGTGTATTTAATTTTTTTAAAGTTAAAATAGTGATTTTCTTATGTGATATGAAAGGTTTAGGTAGCATAAATGTATTATGTAATATTTAGGTGTTAGATATGTATTTTCATAAGAATTGAGTATAACTATGTGAATACCCTAATTTTAATTTCATAAAAAAATAAATAGAAACGATGTTTAACTACAAAAAAACCAATGGCCCAAGGGCAGGCAGATTGGCTTTAAAATTTTCGTAGTCAGAAAGTTGTGCTTACTCTTTATATGTGTATGGCATGGATTATGAGCATGTCTATATCACAAATTTATGCTAGAATTGAACATGTTTATATCACATCAAAATAGACCTGAGATGAGTACAAAAGAGCACAAATCATAAATTTGAAATATTAAACAAAAAATTAAATATATGATTGGGGGACTAAATGATCTTATGCTTAAATTAAGTGTCTGGATAATAGAAGCACAATTACTTCAAAATCATTTAATTTAAACACTACTAAACCACCAATCATCAAAGAACTCCTCGTACTTAAGGGATTTATGTTAGGTCATCCAATGAATGTTCCAGGCTCTAATGTCACTAGTAGAAGGCAACTCTCAAACTTTATAAGTGGAGCTTCACTCTTCATGTCATATGACCAATTATTGTAGTCAATATTGTAGTCATTAACTATGGTCTATACGACCTATTACTATAAATTTGAATCACGAACTCTGTGACTAACTGATGTTATTGTAGTCACCAATTACGACTTATATGACCAATTAACAATATTACAATCACTAACTATGACTTGTGTGGCTAACTATTACTGTTACAACTTCCAACTACGACCTATGTAGTCGATGAATGCTATTGAAGTCGCCAACTGCGGCATATGTGACCAATTTTTGATATTGTAGTCGTAAACTATGACATATATGGCGAATTACTACTGTTACAGTTTTCAACTTCAGCATATGCGACCAAATGAGGCTATTGTAGTCATTAACTATGACTTATGTGACCAAGTGATGACATTACAGCCACCAAGGCCTATATGACCAACTACTATTATAACTTCCAATTCACCTGGCGTGGCCAACTGATGCTATTATAGTTTACAACTACATCATATATAACCAACTATTACTATTATTGCTTCCTACTACAGCCTATGTAACCAAATGATACTATTGTAGTCACCAAATATGGCCCATATGGACAACTGATGTTATTTTAGCTTCCAACAACCATGAACTTTGTGGCCAATTACTGCCTATACAACAACCAACTATGATATCTATAGCTAATCGCTACTATTATAGTTTCCAATTGCAGCCTTTATGGTCAACTATTTGTTATTATAGTCACTGACTACAACCTTCATAATCAACTATATTTCTTGTAGCATAATTGCGATTATTATAGTTAAACTACTATTGTACATTTGTAATATCAACATTGTAATTTCATGTTCTCTAATTCATGGGAAGAGTGAATCTATGTACTTACAAACACATAATGGATTACTTTGGGCTAGGTCAGTTGCTTTTTCCCTTTTTAGGATTTTTTTTTCACATAATCCTCGTGTCTCCTCCTACTAATTTTCTATATTTGTGTATTTGTGATGGATTTTTGTGCAATGCTAAGATGGTAAATTATCACACTACCTCCGTAAATTTTTCAAACAATAATTTGACACTATTTGTGAGAAATAAAGTCTCGTTTATCAAAGTTTGCACTTATTTAATGTCTTATAAATGTAATGCATGAGATTCTCTCTCTAATATTTGTCATTTCTTGACATAGTCTCGATGTGCTATATGCCAATTATCTGCTTCATTTTGCAATGATACACTTCACCCTGCTGACAAAGGATCCTACTTTGCACTTCCTAATGATCGTGTACCAGGAATGAAGGAGTTTCTAAATGTGATCATTCAAAATTTATGCAAGGTTCAATAACCGATGGTAGTGCATACTGAAGGGTGCGACTATCTCAAAATTCATCGATTAAAGGTGCACAGTTAGTGCCCTCTCCACACACTGAAGTTATTTATTAGGAAGTTGACATCTTGAACACTACTTGATCTACACATCCATCTTGTATAGACAAGACTAGAAGCAAACCTCCAACACATGTGGAGAACTTACCTCGACCTCACGTAATCCATGAAGAGCTACAATGTTTAGTACAAGGAGGGTTTCCACAAATGGATAGAATTCATTTCTCTACTCGACATTGTTCTCAAGTGTCATGCTCGTTGACTGAGATCATCTTTCAACATCTTATTCCAATAGATTTTCAAGCTTCCAAGATTTGATTCCTTTGAATGTACCAATGCCTTGTACGAACATATGGATCACTTCAGAACCATTTTGCACGTTCAACGAGCTTCTATCATGTTCCTTCATCAAGTTTTTTTAAGCTACTCTTAAAGGCTAAATGAACACTTGGTTTTATTCACTCCTAGTAGGAATCAACCAAATATTGGGTGAACTTATTAATATGTGTGTGAAGAAATTCATCATAATTGAAGGAATATTAAAAACTTTTTTCTCCTCTTTGGGATTCATCAAAGTGAGGAGAGGCTAATTGAAAGAATATGTTTAAAGCATTCTCTGATGAAGGGGAAAGCTTAACTACAACTGCAAAAAGTCATTCACTACAGCCTCCATGGTTGTAGTTGGGCAGTCTTCCCATAATTCATTCAAACATCAAGTCTATTGAGAACCAATTCTAAATTGGGGGCAACCTTCATTATATTCTTGAAATATCATCCACGTTAACTTTCAGGCATGATTGTAGTCAGGTAGTCTTCTCTTATTTCATTTAGACATCAAGCCAGGAGAAACTTTCACTATAAGATTGAGTGGTCACTCATGTCAATATCTTAAATATTGGTCACACATTGAAATATCTAGTTAAACAACATTTTCTTAGTGCCTCCTTCATCATATTGGAGTTCGTCCTCAAACATGATTAAGAAGTTGACTTCTTTAATATTCAATGCATGGGCTACTTTATGCAAATATTTGGGCATGTGTGAATAACACCCCCACTTGGGGGCAAGAAATACAAAAAAAAAAAGATAAAAAAGTTGTCAAATATCATTTTTGAATATGATTGTAACCATATTTTCAAGAATTAGTCCATATCGACCTAAACTCTAGACTTGAGAAACACATAATATTCCTGACACCTTATTCTAAACTTAATTAGTCCTATAGGGACTCGATTTGACTACTTCCAATACAGAATACAATCATCAAGTAGATGGTTCAACTAAACATCCTAGGTTAGGTCAAAATCCTTCGTGGATTACAATAGACCTTTTCCATAATAGGCTATGATTGTCGAGCAATTGGTACCCTTCGACTAATAGTCTCAGATAGGTAAAAATTCAATCAAACTCTTCTAATATAGTGTACAATCATTAAAAAAAGCTTATACTAACAACTTATGATTGGTCTAACATTCATGATGGGTTTTAATTCAACTTCATACATGATAGATCAATGCAATTAAACATTTTTTTGCAAAATAACCTAAGACATGTCTAACATGCTTTGTGGATTATTTATGACTTCTTTTTACGAATGATCTCAAATCAATCAAATATCCTTGGCGGATCATTTATGGCTTCTTATAAACCAATGACGTCAAATCGGTCGAACATCATTGGTAGATTACTCATATAAATGGCCTTAAATCCATCAAACATTCTTGATAGATTATTCATATCTTCTTATTATAAATGAACTCATCATTCATGGATTCTTAGATACAAATGAACTAAAATTTGTCAAACATCCTTGATGGATTATTCATACAAATGGAATCAAATTGGTCGGACACCCTTGGTGGATCATTCATGCCTTTATATGTACAAATAGGCTCATATTGGTCAACCATCTTTAATGGATCATTTATGGCTTTTATACATAGATGATCTCAAATTGACGAAACATTATTGGTAGATTAATCATACAAATGATATCAAATCAATCAAGCATCCTTGATTGATCATGCATGCCTTCTTATTTACAAATGACATCGGATCGGTTAAACAACATTAGTGGATTATTCATGGTTTCTTACATATAAATTTCCTAAAATTAGTTAAACATCCTTATGGATTTCATATGACTTTGTATGCACAGGTTAACATCGTTCAATAAGTCTGATAGGATAACCTAGGAT